CGCAAATAAAACGACTTTATGCATGCTGCTTTAGGATGAAACAAAGACTATTGTTACTGCATTGTTCTGTCACTATATTATTCAAGACCTCTTTGTCCACTGAATCCAACACAAAATGCTGCCCAAGGATACACCATCGTTAATTTATGCCATTTAGTGTCCAAACACGGGCCGTTTTTTCACAATTGTGTGTCCAAAAAGTGTTTGACACAATCATAATTCTATTACTCAAGTGTATCAAATTCATTAAGCTATTCACAAATTATGGTGTTCACTATTTTGAGTACAAATAGAATTTTGTTAATACTATTTGCCTTTCGAAACGTGTTCCAGAGGATTGATAAAAAGTTTAAAATATCTCACAAAATTAATTGTATTGGTGTGACTTCTACCTGCCTATCCAGAACTTCTAAATAATGAAGCGATTGAACAACTCATAGTTAAAGAACTTAATTTCAATAACCAGAACAGGTGTTATCTAGTTGAGTAATGGTTTATATTTTGTATTGCCCTTATGAAGTATGTTTCTACAGACATTAGAAGCTTAGTTGTACATGTGATATAAACATGGATTTCCTCAAATTTATAATAAATTTTTATATAGAGATGTTCAGAATTTTTAAAAATTAATGACACACTATATGGCAGAGGTTCCCAACCTGGCTCGTGGCCCCCTTTCGGAGACTTTTAGCACTTACGGCACCTTTTTATCATTCCAGTTGTATTTATAGTGGGTTACTTTGTTTGGTAGAATCCCATTATGTTCAAACAAATCATGCTCTACAAAGTGAGAACACTCTGTGAAATAACCTTATCAAGCAGAAGAATGTGGTGTTCACCTGTAGATGGAAAAGTAATATCAGTTTTGCATCTGGCATGGTGCCCCCCTCGAACTTCTATGGGGCCCCTTTGGTGGGCCAAGGGCACTCGGTTGGAAACGATTGCTATATGGAATATTACTAATCTTGAATGAATCTGAATGACTCCTGATTCTGACTTTTACTATTTTTCTTGTTGTATTTAATTAACCTTTCAGGCAAGGCAACCTGTCTGCCGTCAACATTAAATATTAATTTTATAATAATCGTTAATTTTTAATTGATGTAATTTTCTCATGTAGTATATGCATTGAAGCCATTCGCACTTTTTTTGGTTTCGCGATATTCGTTTTTTTAATTAAACTAAAACACTGTATAGGAGGTGATTAAGAGTTAAGATTATTAACCCTTTGGTGTCGTTTGATCAAATTTTTTGCCTTGTTCTTGCGTTATTCATGAATTCGGTCACGGTTCGTTACAATGCTGTGAATGTCTGGTGTGAATTTTGCTCAGAGATGAGTCTCCATTACTTAAGAGTAAGTGCCCGTAACTTTGCTCAGAGATGAGTCTCCTTCGCTTCTGAGTGAGTGCCCGTAGCTTTGCTCAGAGATGAGTCTCCTTTACTTCTGAGTGAGTGCCCGTAACTTTGTAACTTTGCTCGGAGATGAGTCTCCATTACTTCTGAGTGAGGGCCCGTAACTTTGTTCAGAGTCGAGTCTCTTTAACTTCTAATTAGCATCTGTAACTCTTTTTTTTGCGTCCGAGTTTGGCGTAATTTACAAAAATAAATTTCACAATTTTAGAATTACCAGACTATTTATATCTGGACTTCCTTGTTTATCATAAATAACTTCTTATTCAGAATAAAATTATATTCTGAAAATTATTTTGCATGTGAATCATTTTGTAGAATTCTAAATTCCCCCTATCCAAGACACATTAAGCGCTGCTATTTTTATCTGGTTACATGATTCAAAATTTAATGATTCTAAAATTAAAATATTTCTAGAATCAAGAATTGTAATCGTAACTAATCAACTAAAATGTATTTTATTAAATAATTACTTTAAATTTGCATATTGATCGTATTTACGAAGTGTTTTTGCATTAAAAAGAAAACTATCCTAAAAAGGGAAATATATTGCTCTGTTTTTCATACATCGCTTCATATTGATTCAAGCTGACATTATGTAAAGAAAGCTAGATCCGTAATCTTTTGGATTTAGCTTTTCCCATCTGTGGGCTACTCATCAAATACGACCAGCGTAGCTATTCAATATGGCCGCTGAACTTGAGCGAAATAGTTTAACCTGTTGTTATCACAGTTTAAGCATGTTCGTAACAATTTGACTGCCGTATATACTCGTTTTACCGCCTGATCTTGATTACGGACTCGTTTGAATAACCGCCCGTGTGAACAGAACATAAAATTAAACAAGGGCCGGTGCTTGAATACCCGCCCGATGTAAAAGCTGATTGTTCAGTTGTAGAGAACAAAAGGAAATATGAAGCACTTTTGTCACAACGCTGTTGAATTTTAAGCGCTGGTAGATAACACTCACGCCTTAGGCGTCCAAAAGTCAAAATTTTTGTTATTCTCGTTTAAATCATACTTGAGAACTGGAAATGACAATATATTTTGTGTATAATTTTACTTTAAAAATAACAAGCGCCCGTGCTTGAATAAGGGCCCGTTTAGTGAGTTTGGTTAAAAAAATATGGGCCCGGGCTACAAAACAAGCAAATTCGGTATACGAACTGGTATCGTCCCCTTGCATGCGCTCCCCACCATTGGCCTGCGTATATCCTTTCACTTCTAATTTTGACCCTGGTCTAGTACAATCTAATTAATATTCAATCTTTTCGAATTATTTCAATTTATGGAAAAATTAAGGAAAGGTGAATTTTAACTTTCATAACAGAACGATGAGATACATTTTCTCTATTTCATTCTAATCTGGTGGCTTTGGTTGCGTCACGCATGATTGCTTAAATTGGGTGATTTGTCAATTTTATTTGTGCTGTTTTTTCATGCTTGACTGGATGAGTTGCCGTACCTCAGAATAGTTTTGTGATCGCCCCACCACTACTTTTCATTTCGTTATCCTATGGCAGGATAAGTTGGAACAATAACATAACTTATTCAACTTAAGATAAAATAGAAAAGGTGGATAAACGATTGGCCGGCCAGTGATAGAAATACATTGTTTATCATACAGGGTGTCCATAAAATCCTAAAAAATTTTCAAATCAATGATGGGAATTTATTGGAATTATGGGATGGAATTACCATATATTGTTTTGGCCCTCGCAGATAAATGAAGTAAAAATACTTAAACAATTACTGATTAAAAAACAACAAACGTGGTTAAGATATATTGAGAACTGATTTCATAACAAAATTGAAATTGTAAAGGGACTTTATGGACATACTGTAATACTGTATTTTTAAATAATAAAGTTTTAGAGTTTTCACTAAAATATTTTCAATGAAGCCATATGTTCCTATCCATGACTATGACTCGCTTGCTAGTATATACATATCATGCTAGGCTTCTATATAAATTCATTTTATATCTATGGTTTATATAAAGTTTATACTTGGTAAATTATCGATAAATGATTGTTATTTAATCTCAAAATGAATTATCTTAACCTGACGAGACCCCGTTTCCACTGTTTTACCAAGAAAATTGTGTGTGTGTTGCTTTATTTATTCAAGTTCTACTAATATACTTTTATGATAAATGTGTATTTACTATTCTATGTTAATGTTTGATTACCGAAGCAATATGAAACAGGTCCTACCATTATTTATTGACATAGGTTATATGGAAACCAAAAGCTTCCAACCCTTCAAAAAGCGTTATACGGAGGGCTTCAATCCGAAAAGGGGAAATTTGAAAAATCTGTCTTGAAAAAATGAGAAAAACACATATTTTTGATTTTTGAATTCCTAAAGTTTGAATTCACTCCGATAAGAAAAGGGTATAATTCTCGCCCCTTTTTCAAAATTTATCTTAAAAACTGTTTGAGTTATAAAAAATGTGGGCTGTTCGAATTGAATACCGTGTATTTCATAAATCACTTTTTTATAATCAGTATTCGTTCTTTTGTCTTGAGACCCCCGTCTAGCTGCCAGAGAGTCAGTTGATACCCTGATGTTGATTATTCAAACCTAAAGCCATTGGTAATTCAATTTGTGGAATGCTATATCTTACTGAAAAGATTGCAATTCTTTATAAGCACAATATCTTCCTTAGTTTGAAGAATGGCCCACTGACATTGTCATAGTTTTGTTTAAAGTCGACTATTAACCAAATTGAAAGTACCACATCCCCCACCTTTCTGTTGCTTAGAGCTCTAGTTGGTAACAATATAAAAATTTACCAAAAACACCAAATTTCTTCGGTTGGAAAAATAATCTCAATAAATTCAAATCGATTACATTTAGAAGGGAAGTCGCAGGGTACTAAAGCTGGTTTTTGAGCAGCGACACCCATTTTATGAATTCCCTCAACATCCTGCCATATTAGTATATTACTAACTCTTAACAATTTATGAGCAAATGCTTTTTAATATTGTCATATTTTTGATTTATATTGTTGTTGTTTTAATGAAACATTATTGGGTTTCTGTATTCACTTAGAGCAGTGACTGAGAGACTGCGTTTCGCCATATGGTTAAGTTGTATTTTCAGCTTTCCTCTCCCCCCGTTGGTTCTGCCCTTGTTCATTCATCTGAAACAAATAACTGGCTAACTAATCCCATACTCGACATGGACTTGTAACCGGACGATACGCCACGTGATTCAGCTATATAAAAATTAGACTTGATTTGGAAGAAAATTTTCATGGCCTGTTTGGTCTGACTTGTTAGTCTTTGATCGCTAAAAATGTTTATTTTTATCAAATAAAATTATTTATAGAATCAAGAATTTTTGATATTAAATATAACTGAATACTCGAATCACTTTGAATATCTCTGTATTAGACATGGTCCTCACTTAATTCAAACCTCAGTTATCAGTTTTATCTTTTAACCATGCTTGGTTGAGGATATTACTTCGTTTTAAACTTTTGTGAAAAATCATACTTTCGTCGTTTGTTTTTGTTAATAAAATCTGGTGACCAATCTGATGCTTTGTGTTTTTTTCAGAATATAATCCAGGTATTTAATAACTTTACTGTAAGATAAATAAGTGGGGTGTTAAAGAATGATACTTTTCGCTGCAAATGACAAAAGATGGTTTGTTGCAGTAGTCTTAGCAACGACATATTGCAGACCGGCAAAAGGCAATTGGAGCAGGTTAGGTTTACTGACTTATATTTCTAGATGAGTAGTTCTTAAGAACAAAGTTGCCACTGCACCTCTGATTACTCTGCGTGAGTTTGAAGGTTTGAATCTCATGTGTGGGGTTAAATATATGTGCGAGAGGATTGCTGGACTCCTTGCCACTGTAGGGTAGTTCACGTAACTATTGATCGTTTACGGCTTCGTCTACCATCAAGTCCGTATTTTCGAAAACAAATAACTAATCCCATACAACAGTAATCCCAACCTGGAACAGTAACATGACGAGAGGCCGTGGTTCGCCATACGGCTAAGCCGTCTTATCGGCTTTCCCCTCTCCTGGCCCGGATAAATATGTAAATCCTGTTCTAATTTATTGCTAAACATTTGGTCGACTCACCTCAGTTTGAACCAGCAAATTTCTCGCAGTTGCAAAATTTCTTAGTAGCCAGCACAACCTTAATATTTTTGAGAAAGTGGAAATGTCAGAAGTTAACTTGGTTTGGTTAGTTCTGGAAATATGGTTAGTTATTTGAAATACAATCTAAGTTACTTTGTGTATAAAGAAGAGACAATAGGTAAACTTGAAATTGCATGAAGATTAATAATCGACTGTTTATTGTACCATGTGTAAAATAGTTTGCGTGAAGTTTTATATTTGAATTATTCATTTAGTAAAAACATCATATTATTCCCATAAATGTCAGTGTCTCTCTAGAATGAAACGTGATTTTCAAATAATTTAAAAAAAAATTTTCGAATACAATTGTGAAATTTATTTTGATAAATTGAAGTAAGGCATGATTAATCACACAGGTCTTAAAATATTTGAATGAAATATTCCGAACATTTCTATTTTAAGTTTAATTATCATCATTCGGTAACTAGCGCACAATTATAGCCTAATTCTTTTTAGTCTCAGTAGCTGTTGGATTAGTGGTCGTCAGAAATGAGTCTCCTTCACTTCTGAGTGAGTGCCATAACTTTTCTCGGAGTTGAGTCTTTTTTACTTCTGAGTGAGTGCCTATAACTTTACACTCAGAGATAGATAAGTCTTCTTCACTTCTGAGTGAGTGTCATAACTTTTCTCAGAGTTGAGTCTTTTTTACTTATGAGTGAGTGCTTATAACTTTACACTCAGAGATAGATAAGTCTTCTTCACTTCTGAGTGAGTGCCCATAACATTGCTCTGAAAAGAGTCTTTTAATTCAGAGTTAGCGTAACTTCACTCAGAAATGAGTCTCCTTTACTTCTGAGTGAATGTGTGTGATCTTGTAAGATATCTGTACAGTGGACCAAAAATTTGGCTAAATAACTCTTTTTACTTTTTTGAATTTGATTGTGAAATTGTGAAATTTTTTCCGTGATAAATTGAAATGAGGCGTGATTGATTACACCGGAAGTGCGTGCCAAAAAATGTTAATTTTTGACGTAAAGCGACATCATTTGAACGTAATAAATGTTGTTAGATTTATTCTCCTGAATGTTCTATATCACGTAACACAGCAGGAAGCGAAACCTGAAGCTCAGCGTTATAGTTATTGAAATTTCATGAAAATTATCTTTTCTTAGGCCCATGCATGATTAGGGATATATCGCAGTATAAATAGTACTTTTCATGCATGTTCGTTATTTTCAAATTAATTGAATTACGTCAGGAGGTGTATGACTTTAATCATGATTTATGATGTCATAATCATGCAACAATCACGCTATAATGATTTTTCACAGAAAACAAAAAGTTCAACTAAATTTGCAGGGTTCAAAATAAACTTTCCATACAAAAATCTAGTTTTAGATTATAAATCAAATTTCTTGGATTCAAAATAAGGAGATAATGTTTTAAAAGTTTGAAAAATAAGCTAAAATTTTGGTACTCCCGTAGTATGTGTACCAGGTTAGGGTTAGGCCATGATTTTATTCCAATTTCCCTTATTTTAGTTTCATTACGAGTTCGGTGATTAGCCAAGTGACTCCCATAGTATTTGTACCTAACCCTAAACTGGTACACATACTACCGGTTCCAGTGTCCGCCATGTTAATTCACATACTACGGTAGTACCAACATTTTTTCTTGTTGTTTCACTGTTTTAGGTCTTGTGCGTCATGCCTATAAGTATTTACTGATATGCAATTCTTCTTGCACTGGCACTTCATTCAATTTTTGAAAACTGATAGTTAATAAAAAAAATCCAATTCACCAAATCACTATTTATTTTAGCTTTTCTGTCGTTTTAAATTTAAACAAATTCAATATAAATAGACTTCTACGTGTTCTTAATTTAGAATATATCCGACATACCATATATAGCATTGTAGAAGACTAGCCATGGAGTACTATATATTCAAGTACTCGGAAAAGACCTTTGAAATGGGATTTCCATGTTTATTATGGGTAGAAGGGAAAATGATAAGACGGCCTTACCATATGGCAAAGTATGGCCTATCATCCAGTTGCCAGTCCATGCCGGATATGGGAATAATAACCTAAAGGACTTCAACCCAAAAATACAAATTTTGTAAGTAAATTTGTTTTGAAAAATGAGGGAAAACTGATAACTTTTCTGTCAAATCTGAACTCAAATTGACTTTTACGTGTTCTTAATTTAGGATATATCCGACACACCTTATATAGCTTTATCGACGTTATCGGAAGACGCCTTTGGATTAGGATTTCCATATTTATTCCAGGTAGGGGGATAGCTAATGAGAGGGCCTAACCATATGGCGAACTACAGTATGTTGTCTGGTTACTAGTCCATATTCAGGCATGGGAATAAATGATCATAAATGGCTTCAATCTAAAAAGCTGGAAATTGTAAGAAAAGCTGTTTTGAAAAATGAGGAAAAACTGATATTTTTGATGTTTAAACTTCTGTAAATTTTATCTAAATACTTTGGTAAATATTGTTTCAAACTATGATTAGATACCAGCTGTCTGTCAACTGTCAGCCTAATAAGCACCCAATTCTTTGTAATATTTCCATATAGAATTTTTTTGAATATTGTAATTTACGCCTTTCTATTTGAAACCTCTATATATTAATTTCAAATACATGGACTGTAATATTTCAATTTTACCAAGTCATTTGCGGCACAAAGTATGCCAGTTTATACATATTTCATCATCTACTGACTTATTTATATTCCGTCTGTAAATAAACTGTCTGTGCGAGCCTTAAATGTGGTAACCGTTATCTATTTGCGGTGCCAGCCAGAAATAGTAAATAATGCATATGGGATGTCATGAACATTTCATTCACACTCAGGCTTGTCTAAAATGAATTGACAAACAGAATACATTAGAACAAATTTTTTTGGCCACGTACCCCTGTTTGCGAGTCTTGTTTTTATATCTGTGCCTAACCAACGACGAGGGATGCTGTTTCCTTTGAGGAAATAAAACTCATGAAAAAAGGAAACAATACATACTAACGTTAAAAACTGGCAGACTAACGCATTTCGGACCTCCTGAAGTATGCGCACCAAGATGGCGCACAACCTGAACTCACGTTGTGTACCAGGTTAGGGTTCAGGTTATGCAACATCTTGGTGCGCATACTTCAGGAGCACCCGCAATTCAATGAAATTAAGTTCTATTTGTATATGTTTGTGACTCTTTTCATATTGTTACGGTCTGACGGACCCCCAGGGCTCCGCGGACCCCACCTTGGAAACCCTGCATTAAATATCAATCAAAATAATGTTTTTCTTAACTTTAAACAGGGAAAAGAGATTCCTCAACTCAACGTTAATTGACCGCAGGCCAAAATTTCAAGCTGAAGGATATTTGCGGGCCAGAAGAGAGGAGCGCCTGCAAGGGAGCAATACTGGTACGTATAATTAAGATATCAAACTAAAGTATAATTGAATTGAATTGAATTGTTACGGATATACACATGCTCAAACTGTGATGATGATGTAACAATTGGTGGTATCTAAAACACAAAAAACATTAAGTATTAAACTATTTCACTTAAGTTCGGCGTAGCATTGTTGGCACTTAAGTTCGTTATGTGGGTCGTATTTGGCGCTCGGGCCGCGGTTTTGGAAGAACTGCTTCTATTGAGTAGACAGAGTTAACAGGTTTTCATTCTTAACCAAAAGTCGAGGGCGCTCCTGTAGTATGTGATCCAAGATAGCGGACAACGGAACGCAGTATGTGTACCAGGTTAGGGTTAGGCCATAATTTTATTCCAATTTTCCCTATTTTAGTTCTATTATGAGTTCGGGACTAGCTAAGTGACTCCCGTAATAATTGTAACTAAAATTATGACCTAACGCTAACCTGGTACACATAGCCTACTACGTTCCGGTATCGACCGTCTTGGTTCACATACTACGAGAGTACCAAGTCAAGTAGTAATGTTCATTTCGTTCAAACTCAGGCTACGCCAAAATATATAGAAAAGTGGAATACATGCAAAATTAATTAAATATACTGTTGTTTGATTTTTGGTTTACTCAAATAGATTAAATCAGGGTTGTGCAACATTTTTTGTCCGCCGGTGGATTATACAAACAACTTCAGACATCTAGCTGGCCGCACAAAAAATTTACCGATAGTTTTTCCGTGTCCATAACAAATTAAAAAATTCTCACAATGCTGAATTTATTTAGTTAACATTTTAGTGGGATAATTTGAGTTATTGCATAGTTTGCTAACATCAGCTTTGAAAGCCTTACAGTACTAAAGGCACAGGGCAAAACGGCGAAATATTAAACACAGCGACAAGAGCAAAAAAACATTTTGTATTTTTATCCATGTAAAAGCCTTTTTGAAAATAAATCGGTGAATTAGGACTTCATGCTTGGTGGAGAAATATTTGAGTAATGACTAGGCCCACACTAAATGGCATGGCGGGCCAGGTAGTGGGCCCAGGGCCGCCTGTTGCACATCCATGGTTCAAAACATCTGTTTTTGAGCTTTTTACATCCTTTTAAAATCATCAATCTTACGCCATCATTTTAGAATTGCTGAAAAATAATATCCATTCGGTTTTACACTAGCAAATAAGTAATTTGCAGTGATACATTCCCATTTTTTCATACTCGATAGTAGCTTACTTGAATTTGGCAAACCTGGTTTTCTAAGTGATGAATGGCAGCTATTCTTTCAATTTCCTATTTCTAGACCATATGTTCATTGTTGTAAACGGCTTGCCGGAAGAAGACTCAGGTTACAGAATAAAACCTGTGAAACGCTAAATATTGAACGGTAATGCTATACTTCTGCATTAATATTTAATCATATCATGTTTTAGATCAGCGGCCTCCTTCCGGAGGCTTTAAGCACTCATGGCCCCCTGTTTATCATTCCAGTGGTATTCAAGTGTTATTTTGATTGGTAGATTACAAATCATATTATGATTAAACAATTCATGCTCAACAAAGCGAAAACACCCTGTGAAATAAACTTACCAAGCAATGAAAATAGGAAGAATGGGAAATTGTCTAGTAAAAGTAAAATCAGTCTTGCGCTTAGCATTGTGCCCCCCCTCCAACTGCTGTTGGGAACCATTGGGTTATACCAGAGGTGGGCAAGTGGGCAAGCAACTCTGGAAAACAATGAGCCTCGTGCTAAAACTAAATTTAATCGCAATCTCAACAAATTCTTGAGCTATTTTCAGCTAAAACATCAAAATTTGGTTTCAGTTTAGTTGTGGCAGCATCGGCCAGATTGAATCGCCTACCAGGCCGGATTTAGCCCGCAGTCCGTACTTTGCCAATGTCTGGGTTCGATTTTCTAAAAAGTAATGGCAATTCTGTGTTATTTCTTAACATTAACAATAATACCATATGTTCTGTTTGTCTGAGGAAGTCTGACTTGCAGAATAAAATTGGTGAAACACTGAATATTGAATGGTAATGCTGTACCTCTGCATCAATATTTAATAACCTCATGTTTTGAGCATTAGTCATATTTATTTATTTAAGATCGGTATGCTGTGCGCACAGTTTACATGAAATTATTATCTCGCTCAAAGTACGTCAATTATATTGAAATGTTATCTTGTTTTAGGTAAATATTACCTTGGTCAGTCAAAACTAAATATTGCCGCAGTAGAACCAAATTAATATTTTAGTCACATTTCAAGATTTTAGAAAAATCGCTTGGGCAAACTCAACTTGTCAAATAAAATATAATTGAAAAAAAAACACAGTAAATAATTATGGCATACTTTGAACCGGGCTTCAAGCTTGAGAGAGAGCATTGTGATAATACATGAGTATTTAAGCGATAATACATCTTTTTCTAATCTGGCTCAACTTGTTGAAATTTGGTATGTCCAAAATGAATCAAATATTCAATTACATTAGGCATATAGATAGTTATAATAAAGAAAAGACAGGATGTGCAATGCTTTTTATTGACAAAGTTATTAAACGGGTATTACATTGTAAACATAGACTGAGTGTTTTATACCAGAGTCACAGATATTTGAAAAACTTCATCACACCAAATAAATAATGCTTTGGTATGTTGGAATTTTATTTGATATAATATAAAATGCGATACTGTATTGTAGACATAGGCTGGATGCTTTGTACATGATTCATTTGTACTGGTTTATGTCTGGCCACACTTGTTATAATTCAATCTGGGACTACTTTAGCAAGCATTATACACAGATACACGTAGATAGCAAATTCCGAAGTTTAAATAAAAAGGCTTTCCATGTCCCATATTGAACAAAAACAAATTTGAAATATAATTGATATCACATATTAAAAATTATATCATTTCAAAATAAATTTAACACCAATTTAAAATGCAGAGTAAGATAAATAAGGCTTTTATTGTGAAAATTTCAATCAATAGGATATAAATTCTGATATTATATTGTAGACATAGGCTGGATGCTTCATTATGAATCATATTATTGGTACTGGTTTATGCCTGGCCACACTTGTTATAATTCAACCAGAGTAATAGAAACTTCATTGAGGATTTGGAAAACTACTTTAACAAGCAATATCTACAGTTACATATAAAATTGCAAAATCCATATGTAAAAAGATAAGAAATGTAATGTATTTCTTTGACAAGATTATGAAACCGATATTACATTGTAAACATGGGCAAAGTGTTTTATGCCAGGATCGTGGATATTCGGTAACCTACTATCATACACCAACTTATAATGTAGAGTAAGGCTTTCAATGTATGATCAATAGAATATAAAATCCTAAAATCTTTATAGTTGGCCACACTTGCTTAGTTATTGATGATTTAAGTTTGGCCATGCTTGCCACCGGTTAACACAAGTATTAGAATTGATTTGATGTATTTTTATATTCACCTTGCTCACCTAACATTCATAGAATTTGTGTAAAACATGCTTCTATACATTTACGAAATGCTTTGATGTTTTAGCAAACAGCAAATACTGGATTTAGCGTGAGGTCAAAATTTTGTGACTTTGAGCTCAGACTATTTTTGGGAGCAAAAGAGTGATGGTTGAACAAAAATTATCAAAATATCAAAATGTGGTGTCACAATCAGTTGCGTCAAATGATGCCCTTGGCAAAGTTTAAAAATGCCAGGTCATACAAAATGTTGATAAAAGGTTGACAATTTATGACTTTTATTGAAATGAAATTATTATTTGCATAAAGGTTTGAGTTTTATTATATTTGAATATTTTTCGGTTAAAACTATTCGCTTTTTTGTGGCCTCATCCAAACTTGAGCCATGGCTGCCACACCGTAGATAGGCTTCTGGTCATAATCATGGATGTGTAAAAGGAATCGTTTTGTTAAAAATTAATGACTGGTTCAGAAAATATATGATTTTAGGAAGAAACAAAACTATATTAAAACTTTCAAAATCTGAAAAATTACATTTGTGATGTAAGGTTTCAAAAAAACAGAATCTTTGTGATGTAAGGTTTCAAAAAAACAGAATCTCTATAGTTCAGCATGAGGACCATAGCCCGGAAATTTAAAAGAGGAGAGAGGATTCTAAAACTTCTAATTGTCAATTCAATCGTAAAAGCCTGAAAACGTGTGTTATTGAGAGTCACAAGTCTCTAAAGAGCGTTTCAATTTACGAAAAATTTCTATGTATGACAAAGAAAAATTTATTTTTTTCATTTTAGAATGGAGGGTTACAGGCCTCCCTAACCGACCCCCCCCCCCACGCCCCCCTCACCCTCAACCCCCTCCTCCCTGGATGTGCCCCTGATCAGCATATCTTATCCAATTTATTACCTCCCTGATCAACAAGGATGAGGGTGAACATTGAGCTTGTGATGCTGGCAAAGTTTAGTTTAACTCTTGAACCATACACCATTGCCCCCATGAAAAGGAGGAATTTCATTTATTTTGCCAGGGTTGGATCTACGATTTTTGAACTTACAGTTTTTAAACATGACTCGAACAAAGTCTGTATTCTCAACTATTTCTATCCATGCCACAAAGTTGGTAAATATGCTTATATCAACTATCAACACTATTCAAAACCTCCATCAATCAAATTTTACAACGAGCTATTAAAAATCTGTTAGTGTTTATGGCATCCCATAAACGTGTTATGAAACTTATTTGTTTGCTATTCTTCTATCAATATTTAGAGAGTATGAAAGTTGAAAAGTTTTTACATTCCCGTTGTTGGGTTGGAGTCATTTTTTTTAAACCTGGCAAAACCACAAAAATAAAAAAAGATGTTAAAAAAATGAGTAAAAATAAATGAAAAAACACCAGAAATGCACAAATATTCTTGTAAACTTCTCATATTAAATTAGATTCCAAAATTTGGATTTGAATCCAACAATTTGATCAATTTGTCTTTTGCAAAGTTTTTTTTTTGACCCGAAAAAGTTGGACATATTAGGTAAAAACAAGCTGTCAGTGCGTACTCAGGGGGTGTTTGTGGGTCGGAAACCCCCCCCCCCCAATTGAAATGTAAAAAAAATATTTTACTCAGGCTCTCCGTAAATGAATGAGGTTCAGTTGAAAGTGGTCCCACAATGAAGAGTCCCCTTTTTAAGAGGCAAAAAAAGCATTATTCTGTATCATCGGTACACCCAAAACTATATTTAGTTGACCCAGTTTTGTGTCGCAACTCATATGTTGCAAAACGCTGTAGTACACCATGGATGAATTAGTGGAATTTCAACCAGAGATTTTAAACTGTGATCCCAATATAGTTAATTCTAACACAAATGGACAGCCTATCGCCCTCTTTTCCTGTTGATATTTTATTGACGACCTATTTCAATCGAATACTTGGTTTGAGGGCTTCACTTCAGGCTGATACTTAAACATAAGTGCCCATCTCTTGACCTCAATTGCTTTAATAAGAGACGCTTTCAAAGACTTCAAACAACGACAACTTTGCGATCATTGATTTTGTTTGGAGATTCATTGGCAACAGAAAAACAAAACAAAAAATTTGAATAGTCGAGGTACGGTAGTCTACTTTTACAATACCCTTCGGACTAACATCAAATGGACGTACTGTATACATTGTTTTGTTATTATGTTGTTGTTACGAAAAATCGTTTTTCTATCCACCAATTGCTTTAAAATTTCCAGTAAAAGTTTTGTGGTTTTCGCCAGAAAGCTGTTACTTTTATGTACTTCATAAATATTTGTTGGCTGAGTGTAATTTGTTTTTGTATGAGATGACTTCATCATAATTAAAAATTGTGCCATGCCATGATTCCGTGATCACATCTCAGTGATTTGATGGTTAGACTACCGATACTGTAGAAGAATATATATCCATATTACTTCGTTTTGGCCTGTGTTCCCATGCATTTGAAAGCAAATAAGTCGCTAATTAATTCTACACCCGACATGGACTGGTAACCAGATGAAAGTTCGTGGTTTGCCATATTATTAAGCCATCTTGTCGGTTTTCCTCTCCCCTGGGATAAGTATTTAAACCCTATCCAAATATTTGAGATTGCCATTTTGTTTTTTTATCACATCAAGTTTCTGGTTTCAAAAATTTGTTCGGCATATTATTTTGTTGTTGCATACTTTACTATTAATAAGTTAGTTGCGAATGACGTAGCGTTAGTCATCCATTACACTTAGTCATGCTTCCTGGTAGCTTGCAACAAAGTGCGAAACACAGGGCAATAAGGGCAGATATCTTTTTGAAATTCATTTTTAAACAAGTGTTTTATAATTTTTACACTGAACAGGGCTCTTTATAAGTCCAGTGATTGCCGGGAAATACCAATTAACATATTATATCAACATAACTCTGTGCTCCCGAAGTATGTGTATCAAGATGGCGCACAACCTGAAACCTAACCTGGTACACTTACTATGTTTAGGTTGTGTGCCATCTTGGTGCACATACTCCGGAGCTCCCATAACAGTATGTAGATTAAAGTGAAAAGGGGATACTTGTTTGTTTATCAAACAGAAGTCACTGTTAGTGTGATGTCTGGCAACTGGTTTCTTTGAGGGTGGAAGCCAATGCTCATACATCAATGTCCAAATAATATTTCCATGATATGAAGCATGTCGCATGGTTTCGATTGGTTAATTATAATTATTAGGATGGCAGCCGTATTAAAATAGAAACAAAGATTCATTTCCTGGTTCATGTCAGTACTTAGTGGCGTTTCACCCATAAAAGCTGCAATTATACAATTATTTAATTATGATTTAATGTATAGGGTGTTGATAAAGTCTTAAAATTGCAAAGGGAATTCAACGATACTATATATTGTTTTGGTTCTCGCAGATGTATTAAATAAAGTAAAAATACTAAAAGCAATTACTGATTAGAAAACAACAAATCTGGTTAAGATATATTGAGAACTGACAAAATTGAAATTGTAAAAGAACTTTATAGATACCATGTATAATAAATATATACGTTGTTCTAAATATGCATAGCTGGATATTGAACATTAATACGCTCAAATATGTGGACACAAAAGGCCAAAACGAAGCAGTAGTCCTTACCCTATACCAGGGGTCGGGAACCCATGGCTCGCGAGCAATATATGGCTCTTTCGGTGACGGCCTATGGCTCCCAGAAAAATCTGATATTCCAAGGCTAAGCTTACTATAGTTATTTCCAAATTTGGCAGAACATTTGCCAATACGTTTGAGAACACGCGCATAGCGCCTATCTAAGTTATGTGCGTGAAGTGCCAGACAGACATTGTGACTAAACTAAAGGATTTTGGAACATATTTTGTGACATTACGAAGGAATAAAGTTTGCCTTCCGTCCGTTTGTACTGTTTTTTTGTTATATTATTTAATACACTGTGGAAATAATTAGGCAAAGAAAAATGCGGTATGCCTCGCACGGAAATGCAATTGAAAATATGTACCTTTTATAGCTCTCTTGTCCAAAAAGGTTCCTGACCTATGCCTTATACAGTACCCAATCTATGTTACAGTCCAAAAATTTAAAACTTTTGTGTAGCATGATAGAGGCCACAGAACCGCTACAAATATTTTTTTATTTATTTTGAAGAAGTCATCACACAAAATTTTGGAATGAAAAATGAATCACATAGAGCCCATAGAAGGTTTGAACTAAGTAAAAATAATAGTCTTATAGAGAAAAATTCAATCTTTCACCACTGAAGATTTCAAAGCAATTGGTCCAGCAATTAAGGAGAAGCGATTTTTTAATAACAAGAAGATAAAACACCAACAAGAACAACAACATAATAACAAAACGATTCGTATGTATACTTTGTGTCCAATGAACATAAGTAAAATTTTGAACCTATTGGTATTCCATATTCAACAGTATAAGTGATATAATAACGAGAATATCGGTCAGAGACCTAAGACTTATTGATCGAAAGTTAGGGGATCCCCCAAAACAGCGCTCTTTCTCCATAGTGACACCTTGTGTCCCATCACTAATTAATCAATAACTCGCTAATTATATGACATAATTCATCCAGAATCAATAGGTTTCTGGTACGACATATGATGAATGCACATGCAAAATCTGGAGCAGATTCAATCTCGCGTTCGTGAGATATCGCGTGCATCTAACAGACAGACAGACAAACAAACAGACAGACAAATACCTATCAACATACTTACCGAATAAAATCGATAAGTAATTACCGATAGGTAACAGCTTATCGTTTTCAGATGGTTAACGATTGCAATTTAGTCTAGCTGTTACCTGTCATCTCACTACCCCTTTATTTTATGTTGAATTTAACTAATAAAGTATAAATTCAGGCGCTCCAGAAGCGTATGTACCAATATGGCGGTAACTAATTTTGTTTGCCTATTTTATATCAAGTTGTGTAAAGGGACTGAAAGCTATGGGCAGGAGTATATTCACTCAGCTAACACAGACTAGTCTCAGAACTCGTAATAGAACTAAAATAAGGAAAATCTGAACAAAATTATGTCCTAACCTGGTACACATACTATTGGAGTAACAAAATTTGTGCATATTTTTATTTTAACAATATATTTTATTTTTGACTATATAAGTGATTATATTTTTTATCATTTCAGAGCTTCGTACTTCAAAAAAGCAACGGGTTATTGCCTATTGGCCACCACACGTCGGTGGAGATTTATCAGATGTTTCAAAATGGAACACTCGAAGAAGTTCTCAATGAAGTAAGGATATTCAACATATATCATTTCTAGTTTTATGTTGCAGGTTCACTAGCTGTTGACCCTTGACCTGTTGACCCTCATTGTTGCTGATACCTTTCTCAGAGTGGATTCTATTTTTGAATGAGTGAATAGAAAATGACCTTCATATTTATCTCGGAGCAGAGGGAAGCCAAAAGACGGCACATTCATATAGCGAATCCTCTCGTCCACTTACCAGTTCATGTTGGGTGTAGGATTAGTTAGCCAGTCATTTGTTTCAGATGCATAATGTGACCTTGGTTTGAGCAATTTTTTTTCAAAAACTCATGCTTAATAAAAAGTGTTGGATCTTTCCCCCTTGTGTTTTTAGAGAAAATGAAGCATATTTACAAGTAATACAATGTTCTGTATTTTCCAGAAAGTTCCGTTGACCTAACCTATTCGAGAAAGGCTGTTAACTGAAAATCTGAAGAATCCAGCACTCCCATGAGGAAGATCTAAAAGATCGTCTGAAGTAACAACTTCTCTTATTTCTCTTTTTTCCACTCAAATTACCCGATGAATTCAGAAAATTTATTTGCTTTGGGATTGATTATTTGAATTAGAATTGCCTGGACAATAGGGGAATTACTACAAGGTATCTGGTGGGTTGGAGATGTTGCCATGTAGTATTTATGGTTTGATGGTCGTCTCGTATAACTTCTCTGTCTAGGTGCAGGGGCGTAGAAAAGAATTTTCGAGGGGGGGGGGATTTCTAATTGTCAAGTTAGACCGTATAAGTGGGTTGGCCGTGTTCAAGACTTGAGAGTCTAAAAATCATTTCAAGCCACAGAAACTTGCTAAGCATGATGCAGAAAAATATCCTTTTTTTTACAATACCTAAAGGGGGGGTTCCGAAAATTACCCCCTCCCCCTCAAAGGGTACGTCCCTGTCTAAGTGGCCCAGCTGCCAAAGCCATGCTCACCAAGGATAACAGTGTTCTAAAAACTTAATTTCCGAATTTACAAACTTAATTAGATATTGAACCTTCGGTTTCGCTGCTCGATAACCAGTTTTACGAAATTCAGTTTATGCTTTTTTCTGTGTACAGTTCCCAATTCTGTGTACAATATTCAACAATACAAGTAATTTTTAATTTTTTTCACTAATCTTCTTAGGGTTTCGAAAAAGCAACTGGTTATTGAATACCACCTGATGCACATGCCGGTGAAAATATATAAGATGTTTCAAAGTCGGGCATTCCAAGAAATCTTCAAAGAATTCAATGTAAGTGAGGATATTCAACATATTATAATTTCTATATTTATGTTGCAGGTTTCAGTAGCTTATGGCGTTTCTGTTGTTACCCATAACTTGTTCAGAGATGGATGGATCACATTTCTGGATGAGTCAATAGAAAAGGATTTTTATATTTTTCCCATAGGAGTGATAGTCAGTAAGACGGATTAATTATATAGCGACCACGCTTCTCATCCGGTCCATGTTGGGCATGGGATTAGTTAGCCAATCATTTGTTTAACAGGTACTCCAGAAGTATGCGAACCAAGATGGTGAACACCGGTATATAGTATGTGTACCTGGTTAGGGTAAGGCCTTAATTTTAGGTAAAAAAGGACGGAAGTCACTTAGCTAGTTCTCGAACTCGTAATACACTTAAAATAAGGAAAATTGGAATAAAATTATGGCCTAACCCTAACCTGGTACACATACCGCGATTTCATACCTGACAATAAAAGCAATTAATATTTTTTTTAATCTTCTTAGAGCTTCGTACTTCGAAAAAGCAACTGGTTATTGAATACCACCTAATGCACATGCCGGTGAAAATATATCAGATGTTTCAAAGTCGGGCATTCCAAGAAATCCTCAAAGAAGTCAATGTAAGTGAGGATATTCAACATAATATAATTTCTAGATTTATGTTGAGGATTTCAGTAGCTTATGGCGTTTCCCTTGTTATCCATAACTTGCTCAGAGATGAGTGGATTACATTTTTGGATGAGTCAATAGAAAAGGATTTTCATATTTTTCCCATCAGTAATCAGTAGTTTTCTGGCCATACTGAGATCACACTTGATGTACAAATTGCAATAAACGTTTAAAAAACATTCCAGGGTGAGGGGAGCCGTGAGAAACCAAATTTGGTTATTGAACAGCGGCACCCAGTTCATGGGGGTGAAACTCAATAAGATGGCTTAATCATGTGGCGAACCACGGTCTCTCGTCCGGTCACCAGTCCATATTGGGTATGGGATTAGTTTGCCAGTTATTTGTTTTAGATGCATGGAGTGTCCTTGGTTTGAGCAAATTCTTGAAAAAAAAACTTGAAATGAGGAAAATCGGAATAAAATTATGGCCGAACCCTAACCTGGTACACATACTTCGGGAGTACCTAAAATTGAAGTTGTAAAGGGACTTTATGAACACTTTGTATATCTCTAAGTATGATATAAAACATATCGCATAAACATCCACTTTCCTTTCCCCTCGAATGAGTAGTAGAGATCTAACTAACAGCACAAGCAAACCTATTTATTTCTTTTTTGTCTTTCCAGGAGCAAAAGACAGAATATGAAAACCTGTCAAGTGAACACTACGGTACTTCATGATGGAAATCAAGATCAGAGGTTCGGCAATTTGAAAAATAAAAAACTGTCATACTGTTGAAGCTGGAATTACTGCGGCTGCTGGTAACAGAGAGAGAGATTTATTGCTCTTGTCAACCAGAAAACAAACAATGGTATATGATAAAATATATACAATATACACAAAGTTGATTTGGTATAGACTGGGGGAGCGATACGACCATGAGGACCAGACTTGCCCTCCAATGGATAATCGTTAAGCGTTTCAGGATATACTCATTCCAGGCCTCGTTAGAGCCTTTATTGTTATTTTTGTCGCTACCTCCCTGTGTCGGGAATGGATAATTTGCGCGTTGAGGTATACCTGAATACATGTTGGCACATGGCAGTAGGTGTCAAACTTTTATGACCCGTGCTCCTTACTCTTCTATAAAAATACCCAGTGGGTGTCGCTGATCGATAACCAGTAATGGTGTCTCTCGTGCCTCGCTTCACCCTGAAGTACCCTTTTACTTATTTTATTTTTATGTTTATTCACAAATGTGTACTTTAGTATTGTGGAAAAATAAGTTACTGATTACTCATAGTGTGATTTCACCATGTCCCTGGATATCGTTTTTTTCCTAATTTGTCATATTGGTACATACACTTCTGAAGCGCCCTTTTCATTAGGTTTTGCCCATTTTCCGATCTTTCGGTCGTCATTATCTGTGTTCTAGACCAGGGGTTCCAAATTTTTTTTAGGATGACCCTAGAGACAACTTTTAAGTGTCCAGTGCGACCCTAGGTCAATATATATATTTTTCATGAAACTTTACAGCTTTTTTCACTGGACTTTTGAGTTTGGCCATGTGGTGGTATTAAGTAAAATAAGCTAAAACCAACCAGTGATGTCACAAAAAGCACTTACATTTTCTATAGAGCGATAGCATAGAGCAATGCCTATGGACCAGTTTTACAGTAGACCATGGTACAAACTGCTAAATTTAACATGGTTTGTCAAATCTTAGATGTTTTGTACATCCATCCGCTACCAAACCTCAGCGACCTGTTTGGGTCCCTACCTACTTATCACTCTGACCCAATTTGGGGTCGCGACCCCTGGTTTGGAAACACCTGTTCTAGACGAAAGATCGAAATAAAATTGTATTGTATATTTGTATTTACTTGTACATGTCTGTTTTCCTACTATAGCACAGCAGTTATATTTGTTGGGGGTGCATGACGGACATTCCCGTGTCTTAGTGTCTTGAACATATATCCCATCTCTGTTACACAATTTAATTATCATACAGAAACGGGTGCGCGAATACCCTGACTTGCGCCATTGTGTTTATGGGTATTTGCTTGACAACCTTCAATTCACAAAAGAATGGGTGTTACCGGGGTGTGTTGTCTATTCATTGTAACGCAAAAGTTCTGCTTTTGTGTAGAGAAGTTGTATCTGGTGACACGTATGCTGTGTTGAATAAAAATGACAAAGGTTGAAGATATCTTGTCTTTTTAACCAGTGTTGGAGGGGGGGGGGGTTGTTCTTGGACTATCGGGATAATGAGCGAAAAAGTTCTTGTTTTAGACATTAGTAACCGCAGCAAGTGGGTTACATGCATTAGTGTTGTATTTGACTTTTCTGGAGATGGATATTAGATTTATGTAAAGTGTGTCATGTAGCTTTAGTAGTGACATACATTTTCTAAAAAGAGAGAAGCGTTGTTAATGAGTTTGATAAGAAGAGAGCCCGTTCTAATTTTTTTAATAATTGGATTTTCTGCTTTTGTGTTGAAAGAGGTTGTAGCTGCTAACTGGTACGCTTCAATATTGTTGAATAATAGGTTGGAGATATTTAATACTGGTATTCTATATTATTGTATTTTCGTAGTCGATAGAGCAGGGGTGGGCAATTACTTTTTTGAGTAGGAAAGTTACGGAAAACAGACTTGATTACTGGGCCAGATTCGAAACTCATGAATAAAAATACAGTTTACTTACAAATACCTATCGTACCAGCTAATGCACAATAGACAACTAGTGCACCGAGTGGCACAGTGATCAATGGGAATGATAGGCACATTCCAGGGGTTTCGCTAGTTTCCATTCAAGTCGTGAGTCTATATCAGTGGTTCCTAATCTTTTATGGCCTCGTTTGGAAACCGCTGGTCTATATTATTATACAGGGGGGCCCAAAAGTAGGTATACAGTTATTAAACTATTTTATATGCTTTGAAGCTACTTGCAGTTCACTTTATATTACTTGTTAAGTACCACAAAAATTGCTTATTTCTAGATAATAAATCGAGTGTGAATTAACATTAGTTTTCTAGCTGCTTGGAAGGTAATAAAAAATAACTGTATACCTATATTTGGGCCACCCGGTATATGCTGTTTGAATATGCTCAAATACCTACTATGTTTGATTTGATACTATTATTAAACTCTGAGGATCATTTTGTTTTGCCAGTAAGAAGTTTGCTTTATACATATTTATAATTTATGTAATTCAGACCATAAAACTATTTCACAGAGCATACTCGAGCCTCTGGGACGTTTTATTTGGGTTCAAATCCACCCAAAAGTTTTAGGTTGTAATATCTGAAGAAAATGGGTAATTATTTGGGAATTTGTTGGCAATATATTTGGGAACATCCATGGGCATCTGTCATAGTTGGAATCATAACCGCAGGTAAGGAATCCATCTCTTCATTTTGTAAATATGAAGCTTTTGTGCTAATTAAACAGTTTGTAAGGTGTACACATATGAGTGGTATAGTAATACCAGTAATTAAAAACTAAAGAATAGTAGTGACACTACAGCAAATACAAATCAAATTTTTCTCCCAAGAACGAGAAAGTTTCTCATCGGTTCGGAAACGTGGTATTACTCCAAAAACTGTTTAATGAAATACTAATGTGAATATAGCTGAACACTAATATTAGAGATCAGGTCATCATTTCTTTTTAATTTTTCCAAAAAGTTAAACATTTGTCATTTTTTTTGAAACCCTCCATATATTAACAATGAAATTCGTATCCAAACCAGCTTTCACGCCGCCGATAAAAAAAATTTGGACGAAAATTGTCGTCAAGCTTCTGGAAAATTGGTTAACGCGCATTATGACATGGTGGAGAGGGAATTCAAGCGAGTCGAATTCTGACACGAACAACGATCAAGGTAAGAATTAAATTGTAACGAGTTCGTTCTTAATAACCGCAACTACTTTACTTAACTTACACGCATCCATTGATAATTTGGAAGCTACCAATAAAGAACGGATCGAACTCCATTGCTTAGCCAATTTATTATAAAATGGGTAAGGTGGGGACATGACAAAAACATAACTGCTCCATAATTTAAGTGTTGCATTGACGTTTTGAGGTGAAGTGATAGAACACACGCCGCATGTGAATAATGCTGAGGCAGGACCCGATGGAAGGAATACAACCCGTTGCAGGCGTAAGGAAGACCTTGATGACAGACCAGCAGGTGAGATGAATCGGCACAGAGTAATACATTTTTGAATAAATATATTTAATTTTTTCCTACAATTAATTTGAAGCAACATTTTTTAAACTAGTTAAACAATTACATACAAATTAGGATAAAAGTTTAATCACACAGTTCTACAGGAGAAGGGAAGCCACAGGCAATCATAACTGGTTATTGAGCTGTGACACCTAAACTATATATCAGGGCTACTCAACTGGCGGACCGCGGCCCGAATCTGACTCATTGGTGTGGATTCGGACCGCACCTATTTTTTTTATTTCGGATTATTGACCCTACTTTGGGAGTTTCCTTTTATGAGAGGACTTTTATAAATATAAAGGCTATTTTGTGATTTGCACCTGAATATATATGAAAGGAACTGTATGGCCATAATAAACAATCTTGATTAGCAAATAATCATTAGCCGCATTAGTGCGTGTTTAAAGATGTCGACCCGAATAAGTTTGAAGTTTTGTATGTGTATCTCTGGAAAAATAATTGAGTAGTCCTGCTATTGACTACATTCAATAGGCACAAGACCACCTATTGGCTTTATACCTATTATTTGCTAAGAGCACAATATACAGGCCTAAATAAACTCTCCTACTCAAAAATTAAGATTCTGGAAGTCGCAGTTCAGTAAAATTTCTTGCAAAAGTTAAAGCCAGGAATTTCATGGTGGATGTGAATGAGGTCACTATTGATAACAGAGAAATTGACAATGATGAAGAAATCTCAAGGGATAAGGGTGGGTTAATTCAGGCTGTAACTAGTGCATTTAACTCTATCTTGGGTGACGCGATGGCCTAGCTGTGAAAGTGTTGGACTCAACTGTGTTGCTATCACAGATTACATATCGTGGGTTCCCATCAATCGGGGTTCCTAAACCTTTTGTTCGTGCGGCACCAAATCATCCAGTAAAAAATCTCGTTGACACCTACAGGAAAAAATGGTACCTTTAACTAGTGCCCCACGGCGCACCCTTTGGGAACTGCTGGCACAAGCAAGGCCGAACCGAAAAAAATCGGGGCTGAGGAGTGTAATACGAGTGCAAGCATTGCATAAGATAGGATATTGATTTCAGCGTGGCTCGTGGTTTACCGACTTCCACCAAACACTAGTATATTTGATGATATTTTTTGATATAAATATTAGCTCTTTAAAAAATTTACATTTCAGAAAAGATGGCAGAAAAGAAAATAGCTTACCGGGAAGCAAGAAAACCCAAAAAAGTGAATGCCAAACAAAAAGGTAAGAGACGCTCCATATGACAAGTAGGGTAAGAAACGCTCCACAGACGCTCCTTTTTCGTCAAATTCCCAATTTCGCTTATTTTGTAAGTCTTTATCCCCCTCGCTCATTATACATCAGGTTGGCAAACACCGACCGGTCAATCGCCATGCCTTGACTGATCGATCGCATGTGATGAGTGAATTTAATAACATACCCCCCAACCTACGTCCATTGAACCAGTTTCACGCAGCGCGTGTCGTATGTTATAAAATAACAGCACTGTCACAAAATACATCATCTACTCTAGTCACAAGTACATTACTAACAAATTGAATTGAACATAGAAAATACAAATTTATTGTCACGAGTCGAGCTTATTGTCACCGGAAGAATTTTTGGGTGCACCCGAAGTATGCGAACCAAGATGGCGGACATCGGAACGTAACATGGGTAATAGGTTAGGGTTAGGCGATAATTTTTTCCCAATTTTCCTTATTTTAGCCCTATTATCAGTTCGAAGACTAGCCAAGAGCCTCCCGTAGTATTTATACCTAAAATTATGGCCTAACCGTAACCTAGTACACATATTACATTCCGATGTCCGCCATCTTGGTTCGCATACTTCGGGAGCCCCGATTTTTGTGTACTTATGCGTGCAGTTATCTGCATTTTCAATACTCATTCGCTTTTATGTATGACTTTATCACCGATCAATCGATCGCGAGCTATTTGGAACATTTTAGTGGCGCGATGGACTAGCGCAGAAATGGGCAATTACTTTGGGCCAGTTACAAGTAATAGACTTGGTTACTGGGCCGGAAAAACTGGGTTATTAGAAACTATGAATAAAAACAGTTTATTTACAACAGCTAGGCTACCATTTATATAATAATAAGAAGCACGAAGTAACACGTTTAATACGTTATAAACTTATTTTTAGGTTTTGTTCACTTCCCAGATTATTCGCCTTTCTCTTTTTTGTGTATTGTTTTATTTTTTGCCAATGAATCGAAATAAATCTATCTATCTATCTAAAAATTGAGGTCAATATGACATTATTTTGGTAAACATTGTCAACGGAAATTTATATCCATAAGAACTATAGTTGTGATTTCAGCAGACACAAGTAGGCCGATGAAATACTTCGGTTGGCCAAATCAGGCCCGCTGGTCGTAATTTGCCTACCGCTGGTCTAGAAGGTTGAAGCGCTGGACTTAACTACGTTGGCATTAAAAGTAAAGATCTTGGGTCCACAATATCACTCAGTGTGTAATATATTGGCTGGGAAATGCCACGATTCCGGTTTTTCAAATAATAGTAGCTCTTCTAGGGCCTTGTTCGAAGCAGAAGCCTCGAATAAGCGTCGCATAAACGGAACGGGAACATACAAACTTTATTTGCAGTGGAAGATGGCCTAATAGCTTCGTTTCAGAATAGCAAACATGTCAACTTTAATTTTTTTTTTCACATGTGCAAAAGGGGAGAGAACTGTCGTCGTCGAATTTCATGATAAGGTTGAAACTGACAATATGATAGCGCATGCAGAGAAGGTTAAAATCGGCAGAAGGAAGGTCAAAGAAAAAAAAGAACAAACAACTGGGTGCGTTCAATCTGCCAGAAGTGTCGAGGAAGTTAACAAAGTTTGTTTCTTTTTATTTTTTCAAGATATTATTTTATTGCGGAATTTGAGCGAACCCGTTCTTAGTATATCGAAATATCAGCGAACCCATTGTTCTTGTTTTAAACTACAGGCGCAGCAAATAAATTACGTGCACAGCAGCTGACTAGCGTTATATTTGGCGTTTTCATGTTACGTTTGATCTACTCAAAGCATTGATTCAAGATTTTAAGAAGAGCGCGACGGTATGGCTCATCGTGCTAAGCGTTAGGAATACGCTCGCCACCGCACCTCTAATTACTCTGCGTGGGTTCGCAGGTTTGAATCCCATGCGGGATAGTTATGAGCGACAGGATTGCTGGACTCCTCGCCGTCATAGGGTGGTGCACGTAACCGCTGGTCAGTTACGGCTTCCTCCACCATCAAGCCCATGCATCTGAGAACAAATAACTAACTAATTCCATTCCCGACATGGACGGGTAACCGGACAAGAGACAGTGGTTCACCATATGGTTGAGCCGTCTTATCGGCTTTCTTCTACCCAGGATAAATATGTAAATCCTATCCTATTCTTTCGTGCCGAACTCATTAACAACAGGGTTCGCGCAAATCCCCTGATTTCAACGACTGCTCACAACCTAATGCATTAAGCATAGGATAGGATTTACATATTATTGGTTATTGGTTGGTTATTTGTTTTCAGATGCAAGGGCTTGATGGTGGAGGAAGTCGTAACTGATCAGAGGTTATGTGAACCACCCTACGGCAACGAAAAATCAGTCCAGCAATCCTCTCTATGGTCCAAATGCCTCTGGCTAAAAACTTGTGTTGTTTTCTAGGATACGCTCGCATCAACAGTGCAGAGACATGGTGGACAACCTAAGAAATTTGGGACGAATCAGTCAACATTAGGAGGTAAAAATTTCATCTGGTAATCTGTTAAGACAATAAATAGCAATTAGCCAGTGCTATTAAACTTATTTTATAGGGGTGAACCCCAAATTAACTCTCTCAGAAATCAATTTTGTATTTTGTAAAGTTGCACGATCGAATTGCATTGTTATAAATAACCTTCATTGAATACAGGCCGCTTGTTTGTGTCGGGTATGAGATTAGTTGGCTAGTGATTCGTTCTCGCCCTCGGGTACATGGTCTATAAGAAACAATAGATTTTGATATTATGAGAAATGTGATTGTACTCTACCCCTCATTTTTTGTATAAATTACAGAAATCACTCAGGAGAAAACAGTGATATTTATTGGGGGCTGCAGGTTAAAACTCTCGGCACATTCCGTCAAAGAACCAACAATGCATGATATCAAGTACAATATCGTTCCAGTAGCGTCACCAGGTGGCCATATTCATGCGAGCTCAACACTGACCTTTAACCCACCTTTCCAAGGTAAGTAGCCCACCATTGAATAGCCCCACGGGGAGGAATATATGGTACTTCCGTAGTGTGTGTACCAGGTTAGGGTTAGGTCATAATTTTATTCCGATTTTCCTTATATTAGTTCTATTTATTGTTCGAGGACTGTCTGTGTTAGCCAAGTGAATATACCCCCTATCCATAGGTTTCAGTCCCTTTCCATAAAATGTTTCGTATCCATCCTCTTTTATGAACAAATCTGAGAGGGCAATGTTTTTTGAAACTTTAAACGCTGTTCTTGAATGTCGCCCTTTGTAACAAGCACAAGAACGAGTAGAGGGATAAAAGAGAGTAAGGTCGCCTTCGATTAAATAGAACGGTTTGTGACAACGAGGAGAGTTTCCGTTTATTTCACGCTCCCATTAGAAAATTTATTTAGGGAAATTTGTGTCGGCTGAGATTTCACGTTAAAAGTTTTTTCTGAAAACATTTAATTCGTCGCTTTTTCTCGACCATTTTGGTAGAGAATTTTATCTGGAAATTTTGCAAGTCTTCTATTAGAAATCTTTCCACAAAGAGTAAAGAGCTTGTGACCTCGTTTTGTGCAAATTTTTATAAAATTTTGGTGTACAACCAGAACATAGTATGTGTACCATATTAGAGCATAATTTTATTCAGATTTTCACTTATTTTAGTCCTCTTACTTGTTCAAGGACTGTCTGTGTTAGCCTAGTGAATATGCCCACTGTCCATAGTTTTCAGTCCCTTTACACAACTCGATGTAAAGGAGGCGAATAAAATTACCGGTAGTTACTTCCATACTGGTACACACACTTCTGGAGCGCCGGATATTTTACTTTGTATTTGTGTGTATTGCTAATATTTTATACTTATTTTGTATTATTGCAATACATATATATATACATATATTTTAAACTATTCAAACTGTGGAAAATCCAGAATACAAGTTACATTTATCGCAAGCAAATGTTCCGTTAAAGATTGAATAATAAATGCACAAATCAAAAAATCCAAGCATAATAATTATTATAATCTATTAATCATCATTTTTTTCGTCAGCAAAAATAAACGTATCATAAGAAAAAAACATTTCAAACACAATAGGAACTTAACTTAAGTTGTGTGACAGGAGTTGCGAGGGACCTCATAAGGTCTTCAGGCAGCGACACCTAAAAAGTTCGCAGTACCAAAACACTCCGAATTGTTATATTGTTTTATTGGGATGTGATTGTGGAGAGTTTTGGGGTAGGCATGCACATTGCTCTAAAAAGGGGTTTACAAACGAATTTTTTCAAGATTTAACCCAAAAAGACGAAACATCGATAAAGATGCGAAAACGCATGTGCACTGTTTTGTATTCTAGTAACTTTCTATTCAAATACTTGGTCAATATTGCTTCAAACATCATTAGATACCATCTTAAATGCACCTTAATTTTTTGTAATATTTTCAAATAAGTATATTTTGAAATTTCGACAATCCTCAAACCCATGTAATATATTTTTCTAAGGTCGGAAGAGCCTGAAGATCTCGCTCCCAACATGGTGCTCATCAGAAGCTTCTGTTCTTGTTGGAATCTTTACTGAAACAGAAGAAGGTACAAATTTATATACGAGATAGGATATGATTTACATATTTATCCCAGGGGGTGGAAATCTGATAGGACGGCTCACCCATATGGAGAACCACGGCCTCTCGTCCGGTTACCATTCCATGTCGGGTATGGGATTAGGTATTTGTTTTTCGGTAGTATGGACTTGATGGTGGAGAAAGCCTTAACCGACCAGTGGTTACTTGAATCACCCAAGCACATGACTATCTCCGCAGTGGATTCGAACCCGCGAATCCATGCGGAGTATTTAGAGGTAATGCCGAATCGGGACGATTCCGCGCCTTGTATGTATGTATGTTTATTTGCCTCAAAAATGTAACAGTATCTGCATAATAATTAAATAATATTAGCTTCTCGCGTACCAATGTATTTGTATATGCTCTTGTTCGGAACGAAAAGCTTGAACAAGCGCTTTATTGGCAAAAAGGAACCTTAATGAAACATTCCAGAGGCTCGAGGAACCCCAGTGCAATTGTTTAATTCTCTTGTATTGTCTGAATTGTGTTTGAATTATGCGCAAGAATTACTGGACTCCTATCCCAGTAATAAATATGAAAATCTTGAATTCAAGGTGAATGGAAAGAGCTGGACCGTCCGAATCTGACACACGAAGGGCATTTGGAGCTTCATTATCGTTACCTTAGCAACATAACAGCATTCCTACCTCGAGATAGGTTGCCAGATATCAATTTCAAAATATCTTGCTTTCTGTACAATAATGCGGATTGGAAATTTGCAATGGGATTCTGTCTTGCTGATGAAGCCATTGAAAATATGTTTCAGGACCGGTTAGTTACTTTATTTATTCAATCTCGAATGGATAGTTCATACTTTGAAAACAAATATCTGGCTAACTAATCCCATACCCGACCTGACCAGATGAGAGGCCTCGGTTTGTCATATGATTAAGCTGTCTTATCGACTTTTCTCTCCTCCAGGATAAATATGTAAATCCTACCCTATGGGATACCTAGCTATACCTATACCTAGCTAGTGTTATGCTCAAGATTGCACTCCTGCTATTGAACAGTTTAAGTCGGGGTGTGCAACAGGCGACCCGCGGGCCACAACCCCGACCGCCAAGCCACTCAGATTTTTCCCCATCGAGCATAAAATTCTAACTCGACAGTTTATGATTAAGAAAGGCGCTCACATGGATAAAATACTTAATCCTTCCCGCGATACTCTAGTGAAATAACTAGGCGAAACTGCGGGACGCACCTTAACATGGCTTTTTAGTTGTTGCAGACCCAAATGAGTCATTTCAACGTCATGTGCTTTGGTAATAAATTAGACTGAAATATAGCTTTGCAAAGCAAAGGTATTAGAATTACTCGCACGTACCAGATTAAAAACTCGTGTCGCGGGTCGCACACCGTTCAAAATTGGTACTTCTCCAAGGGCCATACAAATTGTCCGGGAGTGCGGTACATAAAAATTTTAGAATCATTATCCCATTTCACACTTCTTGTCTAAATACTGTGGGTACCTTCACATAACATAGGCTTTCTAGTAGTTACAGACACAATATAATTATTGATCTTGTGAAATGTGTTGTTCGCTTTGCACTAGATCAGGAATTGCAACGCAAAGAGAATTAATGAATTGGAATTACTCGCACATACGAGATTAAATTAAAAACTTGTTCCGCGGAACGCACACCTTTCAAAATTGGCACTTCTCTGCAGAATGCACAAGTTTCCTTGTGGGTCGCATTTGGTCTGCAGGCTGCAGGTTGCACACTCCTGATAGGAAGTTCAGAATCATTATCCTGGTTCAAGCTTCTTGTGCAACTACGCATTGTAACATTTCACAAAATATTGTTATTTTTGTGCTCTAACAGACTTGAAGCGAAAGGCTTTGTTCCTGCTATCAAGACACTGGAACCACTTATGGCATCGTTTGAGGATGAGATTGAGTTCAAGATTATTCCTGGGCAGCCGATGACAAACATACAGTTCAATGTGGATGAACAATTTCTGTCTTCACATCAGGGTGGGTAGGAATACAAGATCAGACGCTTAATCAAGCTTTTCGCTCTGAACAAAGCTCTATACAAGCAGCAGGGTTGGATTAACCATTAAGCACGGCGTGTGGCTCATCGTGCTAAGCATTAGGAATACGCTCGCCACCGCATCTCTGATTACCCTGTATGAGTTTGCAAATTCGAATCTGTCCAGGATTGCTGGACTCCTCGCCGCCGTAGGGTGGTTCACGTAACCGCTGGTCGGTTACGGCTTCCTCTACCATCAAGTCCGAAAACAAATAACTAAATATTCCCATATCCGACATGGACTGGTAACCGGACGAGAAGCCATATTTCGCCAAATGGTTAAGCCCTCCTATCCGTTTTCCTCTCCCCCGGGATAAATATGTAAATCTTATCCTATAAGCACGTGCTTTGGGCATCAAGAGAAAGAGGGCACCGCAGGGGGGCATCTTTAAATCCAGCAACGCTTTATACCAGTGGTTTTCAACCTTTATGCTCTTGTGTTCCATTTTTGGTGTCAAAGAAAAGCTTAGGCCAACAAAACCAAATATGGCTTTGAAAGAGTATATTTCAAAACTATCGTAACTTTTGATGATGATTATTTTTTGTTCTGTTTTCAAATATATATATATTTCCCACATTTGGCCCTTTTGTTGCAACTCTCATGTTATGGAATGTTAAAAATATATTCAAAAAATGGAAAATTATGAGTTTTTTCAAGTTCTTTCATTTTTCACTTTCTAGGCTACATATCCTACTGCAACACAAACGCTGACACTTGCGAATATAAAATCACTCAGAAGAGGAAACTCGATTTAGCTGTTGGAAATCAAGCTGGCGTTGAACAAATCATCGATCAAAAAACCTACAGCATGATAAAGAAATAATAATTATTGACAGTGTACCTAACCAAATGCTATTATAATTTTTTTCCCACTAGTTTCCTTATACAGCGACTGTTTTTGTTCCAATAAGAAAAAAAAGCAATGTGGTACCAAAAGTGATATATCTGGGGGAACGCCTGATAAAGTACATTATATTGTCTCCTCTGTGGAGTAATAAATTTCGTTCGCACATTACCAGTGAAACCAAGATATCATTCAAAATGTTAATGCGAGTCCATGCAACTCAAACAAAGAACTGGCTAAATAATCACATGGACTGGTAACTGGGCGAGAGGCCTAGTATAGTTTTCCTCTCCTCCGAGATAAATATGTAAATCCTACTAATCGATATGGATTGTTAGTTTTTATTCGTTTCTGTGTGTGGCTTTATTATCGAACAGTTGATTGCTCTGTATCATGAAGACAGGTTGGTATGATGGGTTCTAATTGGTGGTGCCAGATTTTTTCAAGTGTGCATTCATAATGAATGTCACAATGCAATTGTTTATTACAACAGCGAGCAGTTGACCCCATCTAATTTTCAGCTGTGACACCATACTTTGCTTCTTATCATAACTTATAAACAAAAATGTATTTAGATATTCAGAAAGTGGTCCAATCAGTCAAATACATACCACATTTTTACACGGTACAAATAGTTTTATCCCTAATAACTAAATATCCAACACCCCCGAAATTTTGTAAACACCCACCCCAAAATTAAAGCTGGGGAACATACTGGACCCGCGTACACGTATCACATCTTTTGTCAACAGCTTTCAATCAAAATCTGTACGTTTTAAATCTTAAAGTTTTGTTCGCATTCCTGATTTTGTAATCAGTTTTATTTGATTTGATCAATAATTTTATTGTCTTTTCATGCTGATTATAGAGTCTGAATATTATTTTCGATATCTTTCTCCATTTTGCCTGTGTCTTTTGGGCGCTCTAGAAGTGTATGTACCAATATGGAGGTAACTAATTTTGTTCGCCTACTTTACATCAAGTTGTGTGAAGGAACTGGAACCTATGGGCAGTTGGTATATTCACTTGGCTAACACAGACAGTCCCCGAACTCGTGATAAACTTAAAATAAGGAAAATCGGAATAAAATTATGCCCTAACACACACTCTGCCTTTTGGATCTCTGTAATCTTGAGTCACTACTAGGGCTGGGCGTTTTCGAATACCTGATGATTTCAGAATCGAATATTTTTTTCGAATCGAATCTTTAATACTTGGGAGATATATAATTGTATGCAATTTTTCGTCATACAAGGTGTCGTTGACTGGATGACTCTTAAGTCTTTCGCGATCCCTCGTCTATTGCAACAAGCCGATATCCGTTTTTTTCATATCGTATATTGGTTTTGCATGACGAAAATGAATATTGGAATCTGAATGAAAATAGAAGACCCCAAAATATTACTCCGTGAAAATTGTTTTAAACTAATATAATAAAATCAGCCTAAAGAGCATCTTATTCTTTATAAAAATTGAAATCGCGATTTTGTGTTATTCAATTATTAGTTCTGAAAAAATCGCGATAAATCTAAAAAAAAATAACCCTAACATTATTAGCATCATTAGCAAAAGCAGGTGGTAGTTAGCATTGGTGTAGCCAGGAGGGGCCAGAAATATTCAACATTTAAATGCAATTTCGCGGCTTTTGCAGTAAGACATAAATTCTTAAGCCTTTTTCAACACCATTTTGCTCCATTCTTGAACGATTTACCAAAAACCGAACGTTCCCTATCAATAATCCGCTCACCAAATGAACCAAACGAGATAGATGAAAATGCACACTTATATGCCCGGATAACTTCGACAGCGAAGTAAATCTATAGAGCGATTCTTTAAGATATTAGATATCAGTAGCCACGTTTATCTGGCTTTGTTCAGAGCAAAAGGCACAATCGAGCGTCAGATGACGTCATTATACAAACAAAATTTGCTCCCCCCAATATTTTGGGCTGGCTTTTTTGGGGGGTTTAGGCTGCTGATATGCGCGAGATGCTTCCAATCGCTTCTTTTCAGTTTTCTTATTGGCCTTTTCTGTGCCTTTGTTTGTTTTTTGGTAGGTAGCCGAAATTGTGTTTCCTGAATTTAGGTATTGATTGTCAATTTTGTGTTCACACACAGTAAGAAACTTTATCAATAACTCAAATTTCAAACAAAAAAAGGGGGAATCATCTCGACCTGCGGGCGGACAAAAAAACAAGATGGTGGCGATTCAAGATTCCATAATGTCAAGCCATACTTATTGGACTCCCAAACTTCTTCAAGAATCCATGGTTTAATTAATAATATAACAATTTACACAATAACCGCACAGAATATGGATGTGCCCCTGTGTAAAATCAAAAAGCATAACCTGATTCAACTCAAAAAGTTAACAACATGGCTCGATCATAAAATTTATTCTCGTAGTTATAGTATTGACTGCATCTTGCTTCAAATAATTAAAACAAGTAATTAACAGCATTAATTAACACACAGTGCATAAGTATTAATTACAGCAGCATTATTACAAGATCAAGTGAGAATCTTAGATAATTTGTTGATTAAAAAACATTGCTCAGAAAAAGTGAGAATTACACCTAAAAATTGAATCTGCAGTGAAAATCAGAAACGAGGAGTTTGGCATAGTTTTGTTAGTGTAACTTCAATCTGGTAGTAGTGTGAGCAAGGGTGCAGCCAGGATTTTTCAGGTGGGGGGTTTCTGAAATTCATAACTTGCCAAATTAGACCGTAATGTGGGTTATAGAGAGTCTCGAGGGTCTAAAAAGCATCCTAGGCTACAAAAGAACCCACCCCCTCTGGGTAATCCCCTGAGTGTGAGTCAAATCTCAGGTTTTCAATGGCGACATGGTTATATATTCCGACAGAAACTCAAAAGGTATCATAATTCATAAGAACTATTGTTTCCCCATGGTCAGGTCAGGAAGTGAGGTCATATGGAGATCTCCTCTTAACACCACTACAGCATTGGGCACTCCCGAGGTATGTGAACCAAGATGCCGGACACCTGAACGTAGTATGTGTACCAGGTTGGGGGTCCATTTTAGTTCTATTACGAGTTCGAGGACTCGCCAAGTGACTCTCGTAGTATTTTTATATGAAATTATGACCTAACCCTAACCTGACACACATACTACGTTCCGGGGTCCGCCATCTTGGTTCACATACTTCGGGAGTACCCAGCATTGTTTTACGTAGTAAAAATACTTATAGGTGGAAAGGAAAAACTTAATTGACCAATTAATTAGGCATCATCACCTACTACAATAATTGAATCGCTTAAAAGTACCTAATTGGCTGATTTCTGTTAGTAAATATTGTTCGGCTTCCTTTAATTAATTAGGCATCATCACCTACTACAATAATTGAAAGTTTAGAAACAACACTATTATATACTGTGGCATAAAATGAAATTCCATTTGATCTCAAAACAACAGTATTGTTTAATGAGGTAAAAAATGTATAGACAGCAATTAAAAAAGTAACAATCAATTTTTTTTGAGCATCAGTAATCAGAAAAAATTTCCAACTCAATTTAATAATGTTACTGATATAAACGGTAACAATGAAATGTAGCGACATAAAAATTTATTTCGAACAGCATTTTATTGGGGTAAAGAATTATTATTTAAGCACATTCCACTAAAACAGCGTTTCTTAAACTATTTTGCCCCAGAACACCTACGCTTTTTAACTCGCCAAGAAGTTAGAAGGTAAAATTGGTGAGTGGCAGTGTTCCCTCTAAGGCTTTCAGAGGCTGCGCACACGCAAATATTTACTGCGCACAGACGTATTTCGATGTAATGAAACAATGTGCTCGGTTGGCAGGTTGAGAAAGTTTGTTGTTGGCCCACTTATTACCTGGTTAGAACGCCAAAATTTCTTCATTGGTTTTTGCACAAATATTAGTCATTTCCAAAAAAGTGCGCACATACCAAAATTTCTGCGCACACATACTACAAAAAATTAGAGGGAACATTGGTCGGTGGTTTCAAAAAATTTAACCTATTGTAAAACTAAAAAGTTTGCTGTAAACTTTACATTTAAAAAAAATAGGCTGTTGGTTAACGATATTGAACGGTTAAAACGAAACGAAAATGCATATCTTCCCGGACTTCCCACATAGCAAGGTCTGTTAAACTGTTTGTCACCAGTTGGGAGAAAAATTTATCGCCGAAGTAAGGCCGAGATCGCCATGGCGACCAATTTCGTCCCTGTTCTGCAGAACAATTTCAGAAAGCATGTAGAACAGAACACAGTTTGAGAAACGCTGCACTAAAGTATTTGAAACAATTGATTGTAATAAATGTCAGTGGTTCCCAAATGACTAGTTTTTCACAAGACTATTGCATTGTTCAATTTAAACTCATTTAAATTATTGCATCGTTCAATTTAAACTCATTTAAATAAAAAAATATTTGTTTTAAAAATGAAATAAATTAACAAAATTAACATTGAGAGAGGGAAGACTAAGTTAAAATTTTAGCTGCGTTATAATAATATATAATTTAATATTTATAATACAGTCACACAATCATAAATTGCATTAATGCAATGCGTGGGGATTTGTAATACAGAATTATAAAAACTGTTGAAATTAACGTTGAAAGAGGGAAATACGAGTGTCAATATCGGAAAAAATACCCTGATTTAAATTAAACCGATAATCCGATGCATTACAGGAAGTAAATTAAATTTGAAAACCTATGGACTTATTCTTTCTTTTTCAAAGAATCTTTTTTCTTTTCAGGGGATTTTTCCTCCCTGGCTTTTTTCTGAGGGGATTTTTCCTCCTCAGCTCCCCCATACGCAGAATAATCTATCACACAACTTGTGATAATCTTCTCAATTCGATGGAACGGATCAAAGTTGAAGCCAAACTTGGAAGAAGCCTGAAATAACGAGAATTTAATTTTTTATATGTAGAGTTGGTCTAAACGTGTCATAGGACTTGAATGCCTGCTATCTAACCTCTAATTGACCTGCATGAGTTCGTAGGTTCGAATCCTGCAGGGAATTCCAAGGCCAGCGCTATAAATAAGTTTGTAATTTTTTTTTAATGGGAAAACTATTTAATGGGGGGGGAATAAATACATAAATACATACAAATACATAGGTACAAATACAAGGCAAGAATTTGTTTCAGTGACATGCCCAGGTAATGTGTTACCAGATATTCGAATAGTAAACTGCAGCTATAATATTTCAATATTGACACAATATTCAAATATTTCGCCTGCTCTACTCAGTATTTTTGGATTTGATTCATTATGTAAATAAACTATTTTAATTCCAAGGTAAATCAAAACTTGGTTGGTATTTGAGTTTGCAACCTACAAAAAACTTTCTAATGTGAAAGTGGACCGCAACCATAAAAGACATTAGGCAGGCCTGCTGTAGAGAATAACCCTTAACCTGGTACACATTACGGGAGTATCCAATTGGCCTGGCCGTATTAGAACGCAAAAAGGTAAAAACACAAAGTGTTAATCTATTTCACTCAAGTTCAGCAGGCCATATTAAATCATGGGCTAATTGCCTATAATCTATTATATCTTACCGATATCAGGAACATCACTGTTAGTTGTAGAAGAACAACAGTGTTGAATGAGATCGGCAGGATTCCTAGAAGTTGTAGATTGTAAAGTAGAGAGAACAGAAGGCTGAGCTTTGTTACTCTGAAAAAAATAGGATATTATGGTAAATTGCCTGTAACTAAATTCAAAATTGTAAGAACGGGTTCTCTTTTGTGTCAAACTGGTTCCCTAATCTTAGAAAACCATTTCACGTTCCCAAAGAGCGATTCAGAATTTTAGAACGGGTTCCCTTATGTATCAAGCTCACTAACAACGGGTTCTTTCATTTTAGAAAATGTATGAATGTCACTATCAGGGCTGTAACAAATCAATACTCACGTCGCCAAATGAATAGATTTCACGGTCTCATGATTCCATTGTTTCCTCACAAATGTTGCAGCATTTTTGACGAACCCCCCTCCGCAGGCTCCAAACATACCAAGAATAGTACAGATCAAGAGAGAGTCTGGGAAAGCTCCACGACCAAGTTTCACTCCTAAATTATGAAAATAATTGTTTGAAATAACAAGAGAGTAAAATTTCAATAATTGCACACACATGGAGATGAGCACAGCGAAATAAAGTGTTGCCGTGTGAGAATAGTAGTGGAACAAAATTATTTTTTGAAGTGAACAATACCTTCAGAAATACCTGAATTACGAAAACGTTGTTTGGAATAACAAGAGAGCAACGCTTTGCATTCTTAACCAGCACGCAGCACATGTATCAACGCTTAAATATAAATTGGCCTTAATTGAGAACCGAGACTACGGAAGAAAAACAAGCACAGTGGAACACAGCGTATTTCCGTGTGTCATGTAATAAAGTTCTTACAAATTAAATTTGTCCTGAAATCTGGAACAAATGACTAACTTACACCATACTCAACACAGACTTGTAACTGAAAGAGAGGCGAAGGTACGTCATATTATTAAGCTGTCTTATCAACATTCCTTTCCCCTGATATAAATATGTAAATCATTCTTGAACGGCTGGAATTGCGAAGTTTGATGCAAATTTTTCACAAACATCAAATATCAGAAAGTGTAAAGAAATTAATAGCAAACCTTTTATAATTTTTCTTGTTCGAATCATTTCTTTTCCCAGAACAATCACTAACATCGCTGGTTTCCATGACAACAAATTATAAATGACATCTTTGGGAGAGTAGAAGATGTGCCACCATACTATTGTCATCATGAGAACTGACTGAAATTAAAAATTAATATTTATTTATATGTCCAGGCTATCATATGCTATATTGCCACCAATACCTATCGATACGTAAGGATCTACAAATTTACGAGTGATTGAAATCTTTCGGTTTAGCACAGCCTACTGCAGCGTTTCTCAAACTGTGTTCCACAGAACACTACA